TTCTGCGCCTCTTTGGCTCAGCCCTTTCTTTCCTCCCTCGCCGAGACTCTCGCTGCTCGCTATCGAAAATTACCGCGCGCGCGCGCGCGCGATATACGTCATCGGTGCGCGCCGACCTCCCTCCTCCGAGGGCTAATAATACGCGCCTCTTTGTCGCCTCTCTATTTATCCAGCGCGAAATTGCACGCGCCGTTGCAAATATGCAGGCGGAACGATCGCTGGATAAGCTCGCGTTTCGCAACGGAACCGGGAGAAAACCGCGTGCCGCGCGGAGAAACGCGGAAAGCGCCTTTGCGGTCTCGCCGCGAATCTCACGAGATTATTAATGTGTCTCGCGATCGTTCGAGGACGCTCGAGAGGATCGGGTTGTTTTACGAGGAGACCGGAAGTCGTGCGGCCGGTCCAATCGCCCGTGAATTTTACGGGAAAATAATATTTTTCTTCTCCTCTTTCTTTCTCGGAGCGAGAAGTGGTAAGAACGGTGGGTATTGCGAGCGATAATTTCGCGTGATTCACACCCGACGGTACGTACGCACCGATAGATCTATGGGATGTCCGTATTGATCGAACCACACCCGTATTTCCTACACCCTCTACCCTCCACCCTCCTCTCCCGCCCCCTCCCCCGCCGTTCCGGCCCCGCACGCACGCGGATGTCAACGCAAATGCGTGCGCAGAGAAATCGACGTAATCGCCTGCGGGCGAAAAACTTGGAGCCGCGCGTACACAAGCCCACTCGCGAATTTTCAATCGCGGGTATACGTGCGTGCAAGACAAGTGTCTTCCCCGTCGGCGAGGAGGTCCGCGAAATACGGTAAAATTGCGCGGACGACGGTATAAGATCAATAATAAGGCGACCGTACCCGGGCAGACCCGCTGGGCATTTCTTCAACGTCACCGGTACTTGGGGTTTGGAAATGACGTTGACAGCGGATGCAAGGGATGCACCCAACAATTTTCCCACGAATCATCAGACCGCTCAACGTCATCGACAATCGGCCGCTCGAGCGATAAGCGACAGCGGAGGGAAAAAAAGGAAAGAGCGGAAAAGGGAGAATCCGGAGAGGCCGTACGCGACCGTAAGGCGCCGACCATTGGTGCTCCCGGGGCATTCGAGGTCAGCCGGGGCCGAATTTCCGAGTGAAACTTTTGAGAATCCAAGAGCCCGAGAATCTGAAAAGCCAAGGACTCAAACACTGATATATCGCAGGACTTAAAAATCCAAGGACCCCAGGAACTCAAACTCGCGAGAATCCGAGCGGCGTGCCGCGGACTAGTCGCCGATATAATTTCTCTCTCACCCCCCTTCCCTCTCTCTATCTCCCCCTGCCCCAGCCTCTCGGCCGATAACACGGCGATTGTGTAACGTATGTGCGCGAGAATTAAGTGCACGTACTACGCGCTCGGTCTATGCATAAATAGCGAAGCGAACGGTGGACGATTCATACGTGGGCGGACGCATAACGGCGCGGAAATTCCGGGCGTATTCGGGATTTATGCGGCGAAAGCTCGCGCGCGTTTTCGTCGCGCGTTTAATGAAAGACGCCATTGTATCTGTCCCGTCGAGTTTATCATGCTAATGAGGTCTTAATATCGCGTTATGGAAAACTTTGAACGGATACCATTCAGCGGCCTCTCCGCGCGTTTCTCCCGTCCCGTTCTCTCACTCTCTTTCGCCCGTGCTTTAAGGCGTTTCCAACACTCGCCTTTCATCGAGCACGCTTTTTTCTCTTTCTCCCTGCCCTCCTTGCCCACCCGCCCCTTCCAATTTCTTACAGAGACGCCATGGAAAGAGGGGTACTCGCGGAACGTAAAAAGAGGTTACGGAATACCGGGTGAACTGGTGAAACGATACCGTATTTATTCGCCCTCGTTGCTTGCCGAAGGAGAAAAAAAAGAGAGGAGGTGGAGGTGGGGGAGGAGGAGAGGGAGAAGAAGAAGAAGAAGCGACCGAATAAACGAGAGGATACACGTTATCTCGTGTTCTCGGACTCGCGTTTAAATTTCCGAAGGATCGGGCCCGATTCTTTTCTCCTTTGCGCTCGGCTCCCTTCTACTCCTCCCTTTTGCGCTCCCTCGCCCTCCTGTCCTCCCTCACGTTGTGTTGTGTGTCAAAGGTATCTATTATATACAGAATAAGGCGGCTTATTGGGAGCGCTCCGGCTTCGCGCTACCGGTTTCTCCTCCGACACGAAACGAGGGATTGTTTTATTCAGGAGCAATCGGCCACTTCCTTCGTCGCAAGTGTAGATCCTGCGCGGGTAATCAAGAGGAGGATACGCAAAAAAGGCAGCCCCGCGAAAGGCTAGCCGCGCGAAAGCGATCGTTTGTCACGCCAGGGACGAATCGATTCTCTCTCTCTCTCTCTCTCTCTCTCTCTCTCTCGATTCCTCGGCTTGGCGACTTGAATTTCCGCGTCGTCTTGCACGCGGCATTTACGAATTTGTCGCACGCACATCTCGGAAGGAATCTACTTACCTTCGGCGAGCGCGAGCGCTCGTTCTCTCGAGTCTGGCTTGTTAAAAATCGCCCCCACGGCGAGATCGATCGAGGGAGAACGAAGCGCGACGATAAAGAAAGAAAGAAAGAAAGAAAAAAACGGACGCGTCTCCGCTTAGACGCCCCGGCGAGACACGCTTTTAATACCGCTCCCACTTTCGAGCGCGACATCTTAAATTCGACGTTTCCTGCGACGAGTAACCCTTTCGCCACAAAGGGACGTGCGTGTACGGCCGTGTGTGGAGAGCTCACGCTCACATGCGACGCGTGTAAACGCACACTCGGCTAAAATGGAGAGCGCTTCGGGCGGCCGCGAGCGGCGAAGACAAATTCGCCGAGGGAACGGTCGCGCTCCGAGCGCTATTGTTTGTATAATTGCAAGGCGAAAGTCTAAACGTCATCGTAAGTTCAGCACGCTCGCTTCGCCTGCGCCGCGCGAGCAGTGCGCGCGCGTACACGCTCCCTCCCCTCTGAATTACGAAAGTCGAATGAGAAATTTGCGTTTCATCGAGCGATCTCGCGTCGGGGGTAAACGAGTCTCGCCGCCGCCGCCGTCGCCGCCGCCGCCGCCGCCGTCGTCGTCGTCGTCGTCGTCGTCGTCGTCGTCGTCGTCGTCGTCGGCGCTCGCGCCAGGCGGACTGTTAACCCCGACGTTGGAGAATTTGTCGCTAACTCGCGCAGCAGCGTCGCCGTCGTTCTCAACGGGGCTGAAACGGCACTTTATTTAGCTTCAGTGTCTCTCTCTCTCTCTCTCTCTCTCTCTCTCTCTCTCTCTCTCTCTCTCTCTCTCTGAGGCGCGGAACGCGTGTGCGCGCGGCTTAACGAACGTCTGCAGCAGCGGGGCAGACAAATTTATTCGTGCCGACATTGGCAGCGTGATATCTCTCTATGGGGGGGCTATTTTCTCATCAATCCCAATAGCTTTTATAAAACGTGACTCACGCGTGAAAAGGTCCGCGCGCCTTTGGCGAATCCGACGTTCGCAATCCGGCCCGTGCACCGTGTGTGTCGTCTCATGCGCGCGAGAGACCGTCGTCTCTGCCGGCCTATGTTCGAGATAAAGCCGAGCCCTCTTCCTTCCCCTCTCTCTCTCTCTCTCTCTTTTTTTCTCCCTCGCATACGGGATGCACACGGTGCAAACGACCCGTGAAAGTCGCGATATTCCCTTTTCTCTCCTCTCGTGTCCTTTTTGCCGCTCCGCGACGCGCATTTAATAAATAGCCGCGCCGTGATTTATGAGCCGGCGGCGACGCCCGAGTTTCGGAAATTGATCAGTCGATTGTACTGATACGGGCGTCTCGCTGATACGTTCAACGGCAGGGTGAACGCTGCGAATTCCGCGGAAGGCGAACGCGACTGGCCCGCGCCGGGCGTCGACGAGTCGCTATCGGCGCGATTGTTTTGCACCGCGAGATTCAATGACACACGGGCGTATCTCGCGTGAGCGATTAGTAAGCGTCGGTTTTTTTTTTCAACCGCCGCGGCTGTCCTCACTGTTTGTCATTGTCGCGAGCAATCGACAGCGGCACTTGCGGCCGCTGAGAAGAAAGAAAGGAGAGAGAGAGAGAGAGAGAGAGAGAGAGAGAGAGAGAGAGAGAGAGAGAGAGAGAGAGAGAGAGAGAGAGAGACGATCTTCCGCTGTGTTTTCGTGCCGATCAAGTTTTTGTCTTGTACAATCGTCTCGAGGCAGCTCGAGAGACTCGACGTGGCTCCTCGATAACTAACACGCATTAATTTCCCTTTATCCCGCTAATTAGTCGCTCCCCGTTAATACGACCCGCATACTTCCGCGAGAGGAATCGTCGCTTGTCGCGGTGGGAAGGCAGAAAGCCGAATATTTTCGTGGATTGACGCTGATGGAGCTCGACAATGGAGCGGAAGTCGTCTCATTCGTCCTGCCGACGCTGTGATCGTTGCTCTCGATGCTCGTGTCTAAAAAGCGACATGAGGCGACGCGTGTACCAAAATGTGCATCACAGAGGAGGGTTAACCGCGACGTGCCGCACCCTGCACGTATTTCCGTTGAGAGAGAGAAGGGTCCCTGCGAAGGTCGATATACTCGCCGCTCGTTCAACTCCGAATACAACGGGCCGAAGCCGAGTTTCATTTAAACGCCAGGGACGAAGGCACGATACGAGAGGACGAGAGTGCTCGTCGGCCCGAGAGAGTCTCGCTGAGAATATACGAAGAAATCAAATCTCTCTTCATCAACGTATCCGAGATGACGCGGAAAAGCGCTCGTATTTATTTTTCCCTCGATTGCGGGAATTGCGATTGTGTCATGCGGCTCAGACATCGCACAGCGCGACAACGCTACGTTTCAAACGGCGGATCTAGCTTGTTGCGCTCGGCCGGGATGTCGTTGAACGCACGCAGGATGTACGAATATGAGAAAGCGCAGCTTTTCGGGCCGGCTTGCTCGCGCGCGCGCGCGACTCCGAGCGCAGCAAGTCGACGCGAAAGCAAGGAGAGACTAGGACGCTTGAATAATGCACACTCACCAGGCTTTCACTCGTATGAGAACCTCCCCCTCGCCGAGGGTGGGTTCCGGCTTCCTCAGGGCCTTGACACTTTTCAGCCCACCGAAACCGTTCAGCACGATCGCCCGCATGTCCTTCGGCTCCGGCGTGGGCTTCTCCTCACCGTTCTCCTTCGGCTTCTCGCCGTCGCCATTCTCCTCGACCTTCTTCTCGTCCTCCTTGCACTCCTTCGTCGGCTCTTCCTTGTCCGGCTTGGCCGGCGGCGACGCCGCCGCCGTTTCCTGAGGCGGCTTCTCGCCCTCGGCGCTCGGGCTGGTCTCGTTCTTGTCCTCTGCCATCTTTACGTCGCCCTCCTCTCAGACGCTCTGAAACTCTCTCGCCGAGCTTTCGCGACGTCCTTTAACGCGAGACTGTGGTACCCCGGATGTCGCGGCGGGAATACGTCAAGACAATGACCGTGCGTCGTGCGTCACCGTTCGCGTCCGCGACAAACGATAGAGGCGGAGCAAGTAAGAAATTTAGAGCGATAAATATAGAGAGGAAGACAAAAAATGAAAGAAGATAGACAGAGGAGAGAGAGAGAAAGAGAGAAGAGAGAGAGAGAGAGAGGGGAGGGAGAAAGTAGCCGTGTGAGCAATCTTTCTCGGCTGCGCACGGTGTAACAGTTTACGGTCGCCGCGTACGCACTCCACGGAAGCCGCCGTCGTTCTGCTATGAAATCCTGCGCCACTGTGCCGAGAGAGCCGCGCTCTCTCTCTCTGCTCCGTTTGTGCCGGCCGGCCGGTAACGCAACGCGCGCGCGGTGTTGCCGTTGCTTAGCAACCGCGCGCCCCTGCCGCTCGGCCAATCGCGCGAATTCCCCGCCGTCATTTGCCACATTCGCCTGCACCGTGTCGGACGCGCGCGCAGCCCGGCAGGTGCCGCGCCGGCCGGTCGCGCCGCGCCACGCCGGGAGCCTTCGCCCCGGCGAAGTAGTTCCCGTCCGCCGTGCCCTATCTCTTCTTTTCCCCACCCGCGCCCCATGGATATCTCGCGTACTATAACCTAAAAATTTGAAAATACCGACTCTCCTCTCTCTCTCTCTCTCTCTCTCAGCCTCTGTGCTTCGAGCTGAGCGATCGATCGCCGGCGCGATGGATATACGCTCGATGCCGCGCTCTCCGTAATTACAAATTGCGCGGAGCGATATTGCGAAGCGCGAGGCGCCGTCCGATCTTGATGACGCGACCATGTAATTGTTCCTATGAATAATCGAAGGAAAGGGGAGGAGGGAGAGTATACATACAGGGTTCCACCGCGATGGTCGTCTCGAGAATAAGTCTCCCCCCCCCTCTCTCTCTCTCTCTGTTTCTGTTCTCGAGCGGATCACGAATCGTCCGGAATACTCGTCGCGCCGAAGGGCTCCTCCTTAATGAGTTTTTACACAGCGACTGACTTTCAGTGGGCCGCGGTCTACAGGGCAATTTTGGGCGTGACGTGGCGCGGCCACCGTGCCCTCCCCGTGAATTCTCAGAGACAACCGGAGATTTGGAAACGAAATAGAATTTAAGGTAGAAATTACGATAATGACGCGCGTGCGCGATAAGATCTCGCACCTGCGACAAGCTAATGCAACAAGATAATGCACGGCCATTTATTGGTCAGACGTTTCTATCTGGAATATTCTTAGCAGGGTTGGAAGATGACATGTAAGAACAACCAGCGCCCGGGAGATACGCCTTTGTCGCGTGAATCATCGCGTTGAAGACGCGAAGAAAAATCTGCCCCTTTCGTTATCGACGGGCTCTCGCGTATTTGGCGAAAATTTCGCACGAAAGTCCAATCGTGCTCGTCTCCCCATTCGCCGAGCGAACCAAACGCGTGGACGCAGGACGCAGAGATATAACCTCCTCCCCTTTCCCCGCATATCATACGGAAACTCTCGACGAAGGGACATTTGCGATACGCAGCGTGAAATTACTGAGATCCGGTGGAGGCTTACCCATCATCGGAAAGTATTTCGTCATTTAATAGCGATCGCACGGCGGTTCCTTCCCTTGCCCCGTCGTGCAAGAGGAACGCAAGTCACCGGCGAAATGGGCGAATTCCTGCATTCACTCGTGCGACGAAACGGCGATTCGCGCGTCCATCCGTCCGTCCGTCCGCCCGCCCGCCCGCCTGCCCGCCCGCCCGCTCGCTCGCTCGCTCGCTCGAACTCCACGCGATCCATTTGTCCGGTCTCGGCGAGCGCCTCCTCTCGGCCCTGAAAATTCGCTCTCATCCTTCGTCCGGCGTCGTGTCTCCTCTCGACGAGTGTGGCGGTCGCGAGAAAGTAGTGCCCAGCAGACGACGCCCGAAACGCTACGCGTGTATCCCTACGCCCCACGCACGGCCGGTGCGTGCGTGTGCGCGCGCGCGCGCGCGCGAGAGAGAGAGAGAGCGCACGCGTGCGCGCATCCTGCGCCGTTCTGCTCGATTCTGGCGAAAAAGCACGGAGAGGCTTCGCCTCTCGGCCGAAACGAACGCCGAGCAGAAATCCTCCACCGCTTTCGTTTCCTCTTCCTTCCCGTTCGCCTACCCTCTTCCTTCCAATCCGTCAGGTAACATCGCCACCCTCCTCCCTCCCTCCCTCCCTCCCCCGCCGCCGCCGCCTCCGCCGCGAATCGACTGCATTTTTCACGGGGCTGTTGTGTGCACGCCGCGCGACGGCCAACGGAGTCGAAATTATTCTGTCGCGGTCTGGCAACATTGTGTACGCCCCGCACGCTACACGTACGTATTCGCGCTTCATCATTGTATCTCCTACGGTGGTAATGCAATTTTCGGTGAATTTGGTCGTTAGGCCCGATCTTCGGCGCTTATCACGGCGGCTTAATTCCGCAATTAAGAGAGTAACGCGATCAGAGTGGCTCGAGGCAGCGCACGCCAACGACGACGACGACGACGACGACGACGACGACGAGGCGCGACGTGCGTGCAGAGAGCGCGATCGCGTTGTTTTGCGATTGCCATCGTGTAATTGTCACGCGGGCGTATTCTCGCGAGTCGACATGGCCGGCCTTCGTTCGCGCGCCTTCGCCTTCGCGCGATACAATGAAGCGTCGCGGGTGCGCGTGCGGGCGGCCGAGCGGCTGGATTCGCGAAACAATTGCAGCGGATAATGAGAATCATGCACACACGAGCGTGCAATGAGGATGTGCTGATTGGCATGAATGGCTCGTATTGTCGGCGGGGCGAAAAGTGAGGAGAGCTTTTCGATCGAAGTCTTCGCCCACTGCGATAACGTCGTTTTTCGACGTACGCATTCGCGCACGCCCACACGCAGGCAGGCAGGCACGCGTACGCACACCTGGAGGAAATTACAATCGCGTGGATCCCTCGGACACGCGGGGAAAATCGAGACGGGTGTCGTGAACTACGGTTCGATGGCGACCTCAGACGTCGCTCGCGGGATCCCACAAGGTTCGACCCGACCTCGCCTCGTGTGTGTCCCCGTGTGGGTTCGCCCTATATAATTCAGCACGCGCTAGGAGCCTCCTGTAATTTTCCGCGAAATTAGCGTGCGAGCCGAGGGTGTCGCGCGGGTGCCGCGCGGCGTGTCTGCCAATCATCGGCGTTAATTGATCTTATACGACGAATTCGACGGCCGCTTCGGCAGAACGCGAGCAATAAGCAGGCGCGCGTTTTACCCGGCGACATTCGTATCCTCGTATCCTCGCCACCTGCCCCGGCTGGGTGGCGGCCGTCGATTCGCGCGATCGCCGTCGCGATTCTGCTCGCGTAGATGGGACTTTATATCATAGCGCCAATCTTAAGGTCTCTATCCGCGCAAACTTGCATAATCACGTGCTGCACGCGCCCGAGGATATCAAACTGTCGTGATCGTGCGCGGTAGAAGGATGTCCTTTCTATTAGATATGCGATCGGCCGACTTCCTCAGTGCACAGGAAGATGCAGCGTTCGAGCTTGGCGATGCTTGCTTTGCAAGTATTTCGCGAGGCTGTACATCCGCAAATCTGTCGTTAGTTCGTCATAAACGTCAAATTTGCTCAAAATATATTCCCAAGAAGCGTTTTAGCGTCGAGAGCGTCAAGTTGAAAGCATGTTAAATTGAAACGAAAGTTTGGTTTGCTTTCCTCATGTAAAATATAAATTTCACAATATTCTGAAGAAAAAATTCTTTTTCTGACTGCATAATTTTCCAAAAATTTCCCAAAAATAAATATACTTCAAGACCGTTCGAATCGAGGAAATCTTCCTTGTTGAAGAGAACCATAGAAGAAGAAAAGCAGACCGAGCAATTGCTTTCTTTAACAATGAAGTTTCCCTTCATTTCTCGTCAGTTGGTTTCGACTACGGCGAGTCTTGAGGAACACATGTTTACCTTCTCCAAATTCATAATCTTGAGATATACCGATATACAATTTAGCTCACTGCCGCTTAAGTCCGACACTGAAGCGCGAGCGAAAGTTGAAAAACGCGTAACGTGATACAAAACCTGCGGGAGACGCTTTTTGTTTTTCGCTCGGTCTTGCGCCCAAGTTCGAGCCGCGACTACGTCGGCACGCGACGTACGTTACGTTGGTCAGTATTCGCGCAAGTGGATGGATGGATCGCACAATTAATGGACGAGATAACGACGACGACGGCGGCGGCGGCCGTTCTATTCTGTTAGACGCGTTATCGCGCTTTATGGCGAGCTTTTTTATTATATGTCGGTCTCTCTTGCTCTCTCAACAACAATACACCGCGATTGCCGGCGCGATACGGCTCGTGTCCGCGGCAAATACGTCTTATCAGCGTTACCTCTCTTATCGTTCATCGCTATGCAAAAAATGCGACCTTTGAACCGTAGTATTTCTCTCGGGGAGAGGAGAGGTGCATCTCTCTCGTCGACGATGTCGGACGCGCATCGCGCCGATTTGGACAGACCCGCACGAGAGGAGTTCCGGTCGGCAGGATCACGCTCGGGAGGGACCGTTTGGGTAATCGCCATCGCGGAGGAACTGGCACTCTTCAAGTCCAAGCAGGATGCGCGACGAGCGGTTCTCACGCGTGCTAATTCGCTTGTTGCGAGTTCGCAAGCTCGACGGCGGGTTATGTCATTCGCTGATGCGCTCCAGATTCGAAATCCGCGTTGCATCCGGTCTCTGATTAACGCTTCGAACGGGCCATCCCGGCTTGGCAGTAGCCATTACTTAATATCCAGTCCGCCGGTACGACAGACTCTCGACGAGGCGGACGATTCGTGCCGAGACGCGAACAAACTGCGCCTCCTGCGTTTTTGTGCAATTGCTCCTTCCTCCCTCCCTCCCTTCCTTCCTTCCTTCCTTCTTTCCTGCAAATTTCGAATACGTGCAACACATGATTGACGGTCCACCTAGAGGTTCCTTTCAGTTCGTCTAGATATTTCGTTGAAATCGAACCTCGCCGTACCCAAATATATTTTCCCTTCGTCACTCGAAGCTGTGTTTAATTACTTGATAGGCGCAAGTGTCATTGAGGCTAAAGATTAGATCGAACGCGCGATAAATAGTGCGCCGTGCCATAAATCAAGTGGAACTGATGGAAAACTTATCTGGGATGTTCTCGATCGACGATCGTGTCGCACGAATCATGTCCAGGCATCAACGACGCCGAGCGTCCTCTCGTTTCGCGAGAATACAGAAAGCGCAGTACGATGCAGTTGAGAGGAACAGTGCTATCGATTTATTGTCCTTTTCTGGAACGCAACTCCACCTGTAATACGAACGGGGAAGGAACATCGACTCGGCCAAGATCGGCTCTATCGAACGTCGATGAAAAATCGGCGATCGATGATCGAAAGTCGAGATCGAGTTCGAGGCCGCGGATGCGAAGGACACGCGAGGTTTGTTTTCTGTTAACTGAACTGTGTACACTTTCGCAAAGAGAGAGGAAGGAGGATCAATGCTAGGTCCAGCAATAGAAGACAAGTCTGCGATTTGTTTCATAAATCGATTCGGTTCGTGGCTTTTTGCGATTCACAGTCGGATCCTGAGAATTTACTTTTGTACTTTTCGCAATTATTGGGCGAGTGCTAAAGTTTTGATGGATTCCTCAAAGATGTCGCGATCGTTCCCGTTTTACAGGAGCATTTGCAAATATGTATAATGTAATATACCAAATAGAGAATGATAACCACCATGTGGTATAATGAATAAATAAGTTGTTTTGAAAGAAAAGAATTGCTCAGTCCCTTTTTCTATGACGAAATCCATCAAAACTTTCCCACTCATCCAAACTAATCTCCAGAGATATGTAAAAATTGTTTTGAAGAAATATGTAAAATATATAAAAATTGTTTCGAAGAAAATTGCTCAGTCTCTTTTTCTACCACGAAATCTGCTTCGAATCTTTCCCACTCATCCAAACTAATCTCCAGAGATTATAGACAATGATGAGTAAAGCGTATCGGGTAAAAGTTCTCACAGTCAAACATATCATTAACTAGCAAAGGTTCTGTTCCTTCCCGAAGAACTTCTGAACTAGTGCAATAAATTAGAGCGAGAGAATATATATCTGTTTCGCTCCAACTTACCGCACTAGTTGAGAAGTTCCTCGAAAAAGAACAAGACCCGAGATTTGTTTTCTATCAGCTGAACTAGCGTGCACTTCCGAAAGTTAAAAAGAGGCAGGTATAAGCTTGCGGGAGAAAAGAGGAAAAGAGAACCGGTGCAAGGTGGTGCAGCCAGTTGATAAGGCGATCCTGCAAATGCGTTCCCGCGGGTTTTTTGAAGCAGCTTGCCGTTTAATGACAGCCATTTAATCTGTTGGTCTTATGTTCGCCTCCGTGACGGTTGGATGTAGTTCCTGTAACTACGCATATTTTTCGATCGTGGGGTCTGCGTACGCGTTGTCCCCGTTTTTCTTTTACCTTCATACTACTGGAAAATGGCGTGTGGACAAAGCTGAATGCAGAATCCGGAGCCATATATTGAACTGAAGTGAACACTTAATCTGTTCGATGAGATCGAGCCATGACGAAGTAACCCCAGCCGAGTCCGGTCTGCGGCGGAGAGAAGCAGCGATTTACCGGAAAAGATAACGTACGTGCGTCGTTTGTTCCGCGTTCGGCGACACGCTCCAGAAATCAACTCGCACACGTCGCACCGCGATATCAGCTGATTTATGTCCCCTCCCTTCCCCATGCCGCCACAGCGGCAATCCGGCAAGTTCGTCGCAGTTCGGCGTGCACTCGCCGAGACTGATCGCGAAGCACGCAAGTGAGCGCTGCTGCTGGCTAGATAATACAGCATTGCCTGCGTTGTTTTTCCGCATTGTCAACAAAGCTTCTACCGTGTCGGAGACGAGAGGAACTGCCGTCGGTCTGCGACATCATCGTCACTCTCATGGCAGATCATGAAATCGTTCAGGCAAAAAGGTAAGAAGCCTGCGTCCGAGATGAGTTCTTGCGCTACAATGGTTCTATGTCGATCTGTTGTTTTTCTGCAAGATTTCAATCGCGATTGTCGCACCGTCATCGAGGTTACGTCACGTGTAAGAGATAGTCATACATATCCATGAGGTTTGCGCGCGGTTCTGTTCATCTGCGAACGTAGGGATCGGCCGCGAGGAAATCGGCCGGACCAAAGTACATGTGCATCGCGCGAGGTAGATTCGTTAACGATAGATCGATCGTGAATCGCGATTAGGGGATCAGGCATGTTCACGAATCAAGGCCGCTTCACTGCTGTTTTCCGCTGATTCACGCGATGTCAAGTGTGCGTGCGGTGGAGGTAGACGGTGAGCGCGGTTGTGGACGGGCAATAATTGGAGGTCTATGATATAACGACTATTAATACCTACCGGGCAGTGAACGTATTGTGAACGCAAAAGTATGACTTGACAAGTTTCATGATACCCAAACATCACCTCTCAAATCTCACCAGAGATATCTCAGAGATCAACCCTCAGTTACCCTTTAGTATACATTGGACCTAATGAAATGGAAATTTCATACCTCTGATAATCGTGTATGTTGAAGAGATAATTTCTTGTCACATAGCAGTAGCTGGCTCTGGGGATGGCTTAGCTGGTCTGTGGCATCTTCAACCATGTTACGTGCGGCAGAAAAGAAAATCCTCTCATGTATGTGAGATATGATCACATAAGTCAATTATTTAGGATTTAGATTGACTAAGATTTGCATAATTCTCTCATAAATTTGCATTCACGCTGAATAAAATAATGCAGGTCTAAAGACAGCTTACAGAGGATGGTATGTTGATATTGGACCAGTAGTGGGTACAGCAGACAAAATATGGACCATTTCGTTGAATGAAGAGTCATCAAAAACTCCGATTGTTTTGCTGCATGGTTTAGGATCTGGAGTAGCACTGTGGTGTTTAAATTTGGATGCACTAGCAATTCATAGACCAGTATACGCTATAGACTTATTAGGTAAGAGATATATATTTAAAGCAAATTAAATTAACTGGTAGTTGTAACTTTGCACCTAATTTACATGATTTATAATCATAGTATTAATGCAATGTAATCTTGTGCAGCTCCAACATTCTTTGTGTCTGTCCACTTGAGTCCGCATGACTCATATCAACATGACTAATTGATTGAACTTTGTAATTGTATATGAATGTATCTCTCATTTGACATATGAGCCTGACATTTTTGCACTGTAATCCATTGATTATTCCATCCATTAATGAAGCAAGATTTTTATTTAAATATGTTAGCTTTTTCATGAAACCTTTATAAAACTACTTTCTATTATTTCTCTGTTGTGTATGCACATACATATGTATATTCATTAATAATCAAGTCTGAATCACTTTGTTCTCAGGATTTGGCAGAAGCAGTAGACCTACCTTTAGCAACGAAGCTCAAGAAGCTGAGGAACAGCTTGTACATTCTGTGGAAGAATGGAGAAGAGAGATGAAACTAGAGCAATTTGTATTACTGGGTCATTCGATGGGTGGCTTTCTTGCTGCATCTTATGCTATGGAGCATCCTCAAAGGGTCAAACATCTCATACTGGCTGATCCATGGGGTTTCCCTGAAAAGCCATCCGACGTTGCTGCAAGAGTGCATATACCACTCTGGGTGAAAGCTATAGCATTTGCAGTACAGCCTTTAAATCCTCTATGGGCAGTTCGATTGGCTGGTCCATTTGGTTAGTATCACTGTGTATATGTATGCGTGTGTATGTGTATGTTTATGTTTGTCGCGCGTATTTTTTGTTCGTTGCCGAATTACAATTCATTATAGGAAACATTCATTATAGGACAGTGGCTCATTGAGAAAACAAGACCAGATATAGTGAAAAAGTTCTCTCCATTGTTAGATGATACTACTGTGATCTCGCAATATATACACCAATGCAACGCGCAGACGCCGTCGTAAGTTTTAAAAACAAACGTCTCAATTCTTAATATCGCCGTGCTTAATATTGCCGTATAACATTATATATTTGATTAACAGTGGTGAAGGCGCATTTCATGCCATGATGCAAGGTTTTGGGTGGGCCAAAAATCCTATCGTCAAACGGATACACAAATTAAGCAATGATATACCCATAACTTTGCTTTACGGCAGCAGATCGTGGGTTGATAATACAACCGGTGAGACAATCAAGGAGGCTCGGCCATCATCGTACGTTAACGTTCAGGTGTGTGTATTAAGTGAATTATCATATAAAAGAATCTACTGCAGTCACTTAGAAACACGAGACAAATTTCTTATAGGTAATTACCGGCGCTGGTCATCATGTTTATGCGGACAAAAGTGAAATTTTTAATAAATATGTGTCGGAAGCATGTGCTCTGAGCGACTCGTCGTCTCAATTAACACCATCGAAAGTACATTTATACCCGAAACCCATAAGCGACCAAGAGATAGAAATGTAATTCTGAATCAGAATAATTGAAGAGTATAATTGAAGAACCAAGGCCATAGGAACAGGACTCGGAGATATGTAAACCAAGATCTAGTTGAAATTTAGTGCGAGATACTTTTACGAAACAGAAGGTTGTGATTCTGTTGGATGGTACAAAAAAGTGACACACCTTACGTATGTATGATGATATAGTCGAGAATTTTGCGTGATACGCTAAATATGTACGGATACGCGTTTTAAATTCTGCGTTTATATCATAACGCAACAAGATGTTGTATGATCTAGTAACACATACAAATGACGGATACTAGTTTTATGCGATAATTGATTATAGATTATAATGCACCAGAGAATTACAAAGATTTTGTTCTATTTCACATCTTGGAGATCATAACGATGTATCATTGCAAATGCGTGAAGAGTGTTAGGGAGATTGGATGTGATCTTGCCATAATTGAAATCTATTTTTATCCTTTATAATTATCAACTAATATACAATTAGCTAAAGTTATAAGAAATGTATAGAAGTCAGAGGAATTAAGAGAGTCTTTACAAAGTGCAGTCATTATATATATAGTTTGTATATTAAATGTACAGTTTTAATTTTATTAATATAAACTGCTCTTGTCCAGAAACTAGCGATTTCAATGTTTTTGTTAATAATTGTGTTATATATTCGCGAACGCGCGTACACACAATGCAAGAACTCGTGTATATTATTTCAATATAGTTTATTAATATAATAAATTATTTATTATACATATACATATATATATATATATATAATGAGCTTTTTAATATTATATTTATATTGAGCAATAAATTTATTTGGAGAGAAATTTTTCTTTAAGATGATTTCGTCTTATTCTCATAGTTGTCAGAAAACTCATCTTCATAATTATATTTATTATCGAAATTTGTTTCAAGATTATCTTCCTCATATTGATTCAACAACTGCTGTTTGGATGATTGTTTCATACGATACATACGTTTCTCCTCTACCCGTCTTTGTTTTAGGAAATTTTTGAAAAGCTCCTGTTGCTCTTTCTTTGTCATAAAGTCAGCAATTTTGCCAGTAACATTGCATGGGCTGTTATCTGTGTCAGTATTCACCTCCAACATTCGCCTCTGTGCAGCTGCTTTTGATTTAGACTTTGAAGCAACAATCTGTAAGAGAAGAATAAAAATGTTTCACACATTTATTTCTTGGTAAAATAAGACTAATCATAAGACAAAGAAATTACCCGAGTCATGATTTTATGATGATCTAATCCAAGTACATCTTGTCTCATCACTGGCAATTCTAAATAAGATCCATCTGATTCTGAATCATTATCCATAGTTGGTTCTTTATGCACATCCTGACTAATATGTAAGGCAGCCAACTCTATTTGCTCAGAATATGACAAAACTTCAAAATCATGAAGATCAGACTCTATCATTGCTAATTTTTTCTCCACTTCTTGCTGTATTAAATGCTGCTTGTCTCTCACAAAATAAATAGGAGGCACCACACCTATAACTCGAAGCTGTGATAGCTCATGCCGAATAATCAAAGCACATTTTTGTAATATTTCTGGACTGATAAGTACATCACTAATTTGATTCCAAAACACATTAACTTTTTTGAAATCTGCAGTTATCTCCACATTAGTAACTTCTATGGCTCCATTAATAATACTGGATGCTTCTCCCATTGATATTTGGTCTGTTATGTGTTTCATGAATAATCTATTCCGGATAGTCATTCTGCGTACTGTATGTGTAGATGGTGATCTGACGATTGGATCAGACTCTTTCTTACAAACATTTGTGTTTAAGTTGTACCATTTACTGCAATATGATAATGCAAAGAACGTTGACACATTGTAATTTTTTACATATTTAACTTGTCAAGAGAAATATATCTTACCTGTTTTTACTACTCTTTTGTATAATCTTCTTCATAAATCTACCCTCTCTCGAAAAATTGAAGTTTACACTAGATGAACTAATACATCTATGTATTTGAAAATGCGTGAAGAGAGAACGTGCGTTTTGCATTTTGATTAATAATATGCTATTAATTTAAAAAAATTTTCGGTAATTATTTAGAAGACGGGCCTCACCTTGGATTTCGCTCAAACTCACCTGTCTTGTATATTTTGACGTGTAGAAGCCGAATCTGCAAGTAAAAATCGTTGCTCGGCTCTAGTTTGCGAGAAATAAATTGTTAAATAATGACATATTCGAGGTTAGGAAATCTGTCATGTCGGTTGCTGTAACTTTCAACGTGCAACGAGGACAGGGAGTCAGGTTTAACCTGACTTAAGGGGATCCTGGAGTCGTCTGTTTTACCGACAAATTGACTCAATTTTCTTAAACACTATTCTTTTTATTAGCTATACAGATTGAAAAATCCTTTTGTACAGCGGAAGTACTTATAATAATAGCGGAAATACTTATAATAACGAAGTGCGGAAAGCAGAGTTTTATATAAAATTTAATGAAAAATTAAAAAATTACAGTTTTCGTTATCATGTTCTGCATCAGCTCGTAACTTTACTTATTAATTATAAAAGTTCTGCAGTTTATCCATGCAAAAGCTTTTGCTTCCGTACTAGCCATGATATGAAAGAATAATACTAAAGTAATAGAAATGAGCTCAGAGATCAGTGTAAAAAGAATAGTGTTTATGAAAAAATGGTTTGGATGTGTGTGTGCGGAATATTTTTCCCACATTTTGGGGTAAAACGGAACAGAAAATTAGTTCCGTATAATCGTAATCGATGGAGCTGCAGGCAGACACAATCGTACTATCGCGGCCGCGGTGGAATTTAACGCTCGCGTTCGCAAGGGCCTAACACTCTACTTGCGAAGGGACGCCATTGCCCCTCTTTTTACAACGGTGCGGAAGTTTAACTGCTTTATTCCTTATTTTTCGCGACAACGATACCGCGACGATGCCCTAACGATGGAAGTTCGCCTATAACTAGCGTTCCTGTATCTTGAGTCCTTTAGGAGATATCGAAAGTTACATTTTTAAATCGTACTGTTAATGTCTCCGCCTCTACTGAGGATTGAAAGTCGAGCTTTATGGTGAAAATAGAGTATATGTAGGACTATATTGTGGTACAGGTGCGTTCCTGTATCTTTAGCAGTTTAGGATATATCGAAGGTTACATTTTTAACGTGTACAGTTAATATCTTTGTTTCTACCAGGAATTGAGAGTCGAGGTTCATAGTAAGAATAGAACATATATATCACTATATTGTGGCAAAGGCGCGTTTCTGTATCTTGAGACGATTAGGAGATATCGAAGGCTACATTTTTAAATTGTACTGTCAATATTTCCGTTTCTACTGGGAATTGAAAGTCGAAATATATGGTGAGATTAGGATATAGGACTTATTGCGCCAAGAAAAAGGCCTGTATCTCAAGCCGTTTAGGAGATATCGAAGTTTAAAGTTTTCCAACCTTTCTCCGACGATATCTCCGCTTCTACTGGGAGTAAAGAGTCTTCCATGTAGTCCAAAATGTAGGGTTTTGAAAGGGCTTTAATTTGGTACCTGTCCGAAGCCTGTATCTCTAACCGTTTAGGAGATATCGAAGGTTAAAGTTTTCCAACATTTCTCCGTCGATATCCAGCCTTCATCCGTCGATATCTCTGCTTCTACTGGGAGTAGAACGGTCCAAATTGGAAAACTTTAACCGAAGGTTAAAGTTTTCCAATTTGGACCGTTGATATCTCCGCTTCTACTGGGAGTTGAGAGTCGAAATTTATGGTGGAAGTAGGGTTTTTGAAGGGCTATATTTTGGTGAAAAAACAGGCCTGTATCTGTAGCCGTTTAGGAGATATCGAAGGTTAAAGGTTTCCAACTTGTACCATTGATATCTGCGCTTTTACTGGGAATTGGGAGTCGAAATTTATGGTGAGAACAAGGCTGATACAGGACTATATTGTTGCAAAAAATCAGGCCTGTATCTCTAGCCGTTTAAGAGATATCGAAGGTTAAAGTTTTCCAACTTGTACCGTTGATATCACTGCTTCTACTGGGAATTGGGAGTCGATATTTATGGTGAGAATAAGATTTGTGTAGGATTATACTTTGGCAAAGAAATAGGCCTGTATCTCTAGCCGTTTAGGAGATATCGAAGGTTAAAGTTTTCCAACTTGTACCGTTGATATCTCCGCTTCTACTGGGTATTGAGAGTCGAGATTTAGGATGAGAATAGGGTTGATACGGGACCATATTGTGGCAAAAGCGCGTTCCTATATCTTGAACCGTTTCCACGGGGAAACTAGTCGGAAGATGTTCGCAGCCGCGGTGGAATTTGACGCTCGGGTTTGCAAGGGCCTAACATTCTTCTTTCGAAGGGATGCCATCGCCCCCCTCCCTCTCTTTTCACAACGTTGCGAATGTTTAACTACTTTCTTCCTTATTTTTCGCGACAATGATACCGCGACGAGGCCTGAACGAGGCAAGTTAAATTCGCTTGTAACCAGCATTTATGTCAAAAGCGCTTCTCGGGAACATTCTACTCGAAGGGTTAGTCCGCGATGGAAAGTTTCCTGCTACCGGAGGCCGCTGTGGTTTAAAGTTAAATTGCAGCAAGAACATTGTTATCGGGCAGCCCTGAGACGGGATACTGTTATCCGTCCGTGACATTTGCCACGCGCTTTTGCAATTTTCGGCAAATTCGGTTTTCTTGATTGTTTGCGCGATTTCAAGTGGCCATAATATATAGCGATAATACATGACAATAATATATATGTGGCAATAATATATGGCAATAATATACGTCAACAATATATGGCAACAATATATTGCAATAATATATGGCCATAATATATGGCAATAATATACGTCAACAATATATGGCAACAATATATTGCAATAATATATGGCCATAATATATGGCAATAATTCATGGAATATATTTTTCGTTCCAAAAGTCAATGCAAATTTGCGGTATGCACAATGTAATAATAAATGAGCTCTCTGCGAGCATTGAGTCAAACGCTCACCGATAATGATATTGGTGATGTTCCATTGCATCCAACTAGATTCACCAATGTCCGTGCATGTTCGCTGCCGCTCTCCGTGTTGCGCAGCATCCATCTTGCAGCGCGTCCCACGTTGATTGCTATACTTTCGCCACACTTCCGCGACGCGGTCTATACTTGTATTAGAGCGGCGGTATTTGCGTCAATTGAAGAACGTTTTACGTCGACATCGGTGGAAACTTTTTACGCGCTGCGAAACGGTGTCTATTAACTCGAACGGCGAGGAGCAAGAACCGTGTGAAAATTTGTCGACTCGTCCAACGGATTTTTACGACGCTTTTCGCGATCGCGCCTGAAAAGTCGCGAAAATGAGGGAGTATCGATATCTACGAGAATATTCGCGAATGCATGCGAGGGAAGATTAGACAATTAGAAACCGAGGGAGTCACTCCGAGGGAGCACAAAGAGAGAGAGAAAGAGAGAGAGAGAGAGAGCGAGGCAAAGTTTTCACGCATGATAGTGTTACGTCCTTTCAAAACCCTACATTTCAAAACCCTACATTTTCGACTACATGGACGACTCTCTACTCCCAGCAGAAGCGGAGATATCGACGGAGGAAGGCTGGATATCGACGGAGAAAGGCTGGAAAACTTTCAACTTCGATATCTCCTAAACGGTTAGAGATACAGGCCTGGTTCTGGCACCAAATTAAAGTCCTCTCAAAACACTACATTTTGCCGTAAGTGGCGAGTTTTGAAATGTAGGGTTTTGAGAGGACTTTAATTTGGTGCCAGAACCAGGCCTGTATCTCTAACCGTTTAGGATATATCGAAGTTTAAAGTTTTCCAACCTTTCTGCGTTGATATCTCCGCTTCTACTGGGAGTAGAGAGTCGCCACTTACGGCAAAATGTAGGGTTTTGAGAGGACTTTTATTTGGTGCCAGAACCACGCCTGTATCTCTAAACGTTTAGGAGATATCGAAGTTTAAAGTTTTCCAGCCTTTCTCCGTCGATATCCAGCCTTCCTCCGTCGATATCTCCGCTTCTGCTGGGAGTAGAGAGTCGTCCATGTAGTCGAAAATGTAGGGTTTTGAAATGTAGGGTTTTGAAAGGACTTTAATTTGGTGCCAGAACGAGGCCTGTATCTCTAACCGTTTAGGAGATATCGAAGGTTAAAGTTTTCCAACCTTTCTGCGTTGATATCTCGGCTTCTACTGGGAGTAGAGAGTCGCCACTTACGGCAAAATATAGGGTTTTGAGAGGGCTTTAATTTGGTGCCAGAACCAGGCCTGTATCTCTAACCGTTTAGGAGATATCGAAGGTAAAAGTTTTCCAACCTTTCTGCGTTCATATCTCCGCTTGTACTGGGAGTAGAGAGTCGCCACTTACGGCAAAATGTGGGGTTTTGAGAGGACTTTAATTTGTGCCAGAACCAGGCCTGTATCTCTAACCGTTTAGGAGATATCGAAGTTTAAAGTTTTCCAGCCTTTCTCCGTCGATATCCAGCCTTCCTCCGTCGATATCTCCGCTTCTGCTGGGAGTAGTGTGTCGTCCATGTAGTCGAAAATGTAGGGTTTTGAAATGTAGGGTTTTGAAGGGACTTTAATTTGGTGCCAGAACCAGGCCTGTATCTCTAACCGTTTAGGAGATATCGAGGGTTAAAGTTTTCCAACCTTTCTGCGTTGATATCTCCGCTTCTACTGGGAGTAGAATG